AAGTTCATACTTCTATGTAATAGCGGGTATAATTTAAGTTGTATGAGGATCCATGATAAAGGTTGAAATATGGACTGAATCGACTAGAAACTGTCAGACATAGGTAAATAAACATAAATGCTGTTAGGTGGATATATATGAATACATAATAATGTTCTCATATAATCTCTAAAATATAACTCTCCTAAAAATTAGTATCTGTTTATTGGCAATATTTCATATTTAAATCAAATCATAATTGATATTTAAATTTTTGTCTATCAACATACATTATATACAACTTCCCATTAAGTATTTTAACATATTATTATATTCTATTTGAACAGAATTATACGATTTGTTGAATCATACATGCAATGAATAAATTATCCGAATATACTATATAATTACCTAAAGAAAAGTTCAAGTATTTCAATAATTATTAAAGAGATTAATGCCCAATGATCTTGCTGAAATTATCATATCATTAATTATTAACAGACACAAATCATGTTTGAGGTAAAAACATTTATTGATAGCTGAATTATAATGTTTCTTCTGGTGTTGACATTTTTCATCGGTCTTGATTTTTTTAATATAAGTTGAAAAAAGAAGTTTATTACAAGCAGTTTGAACAAAAAGTAAATACTATACATAACTTTGAGGCATATCATAGCTTTTCCAAAATGTATATTGTATTGAGCAATAGTATTTATGAGATTGCATTCTTCTTTTTAGACGGATTTGGTTGTTGGAAACGTATTTCACATACTATAGTGGTACCATTTAAAAATTAACCCAAAATTATTACTGATATATATATGATTTATACAAAAGTTTTATTATAGAAATTAAATACAATTGCAATATTCAAACATCTTACTGCGATTTTATATTTACGCATATCAATGTTGTGAAATTAATGCACACAGACAGCATTGCTTTTAATTGTGTTAATACATTCTTTAATCTAATTAAATAAATGCTAGAATGAGATATAATTTGTACATTTTACATAAAAATTAAATACTAATTAATAAGCTGAGCATAGTTTATTTAAATCTATTCTGATTATCAACAAAATTATATAAATGATATCAGAATATTTAAACCAATTTATTTTATAATATTTTTACAAAAACCTTACGATGAATTCTTATAATTACACATACACAAACATAGTTATCCTTCAATATTTGTTTGCCAATATATAAAGAACATTTTATTTGCGGTGTTAATTATTTTTTGAGACCCTTTGCTTAACTTTATTCTAACTTTTTTTTAAATGATATGAGATAATAAATCAACAATAATAATTAATCACAAAATTTAAAAAAATTAGAGATTCTTGTTTTTAAAATACATCAGATACGAATGCTTACTTATTGGGAACAATTTTGATTTTATTACCGTGTACTTGTTTTCGGTAAAATATTTAAATTTATTGAAGTTGGATTCTGTTAAAAAAAATGCAATTCTGACAACACTCGCAAACTTTATAATCGACTAGTAGTAGATAAATTTCTTTATCTTTTAACTTGCGAGCTTGGCACATGGTATAAATAATAAAATTACATATGGCAGCATATTACTCTATGAATTATAAATCCAATTTTTATAATTCGGAATGTTTTAATAAAATGATCTAAATAAAATCATTTGCTTTTTCGAAGTTGTTCAATTTAGTTTTAACTTAAATTATTTTATTATAACTTAAAACTAAAGCAAAAATGTACAGAAGTGTTCATAAAAGTGATTTGGAATAATCATATTCAAAATTTTTTTGACATAATCTCAAAGCCATAAATTTATGTGAAGGCTCTTTTACAAAATCTAAATACTTTTAATAGATGCACAACCAAAATGTTTTAAATAGGCTGCTAAATCAATTCATTAAACAAAGATCTTATATTTTCTAGAGCTCACAATCTATGTTTGTCATATTTTACCAGCAGCGTACACCTGCTACACATATCTGACAATTTTTTAAAGATTTATTTGGCTCTAAGACTCATATTTATTGCTTTGTGATCATTTGTTGTAACCTTAGGCCTTTAATGGAACACTATAATTATTTTTTTAATTTCTTTTATAAATTTCATACATAATATTAAATACCAATTGAGATCACAATGTCATGGACAAAAGTATTTATAAATAATTAAATTCTTTCTACTACTAAAACAGAGAATTTATTATTTTCTACACATTTTAGGAATGAAAGTCCGAAATTATAATAATGCAGTCAAAGTATGAAAAGTTTTTTTCGTTGCCTTCCTTTTTTTATAAATGCTATTTTGCATATACCTAACGTTTTTTTACATAAACTAATATAAAAAATAGTTCAAATTTGAATTTCACTTTTATAATTAATAATAAGTCTATTTGGCTTCAATTTACTATCAGGGTATCAAAACATTTGGTTTCTTACTTTTTCCTTATTTTATAAAGTTTCAAATGATATTTCAATATTCATTTTGTTACTCAATCACATTATCTGTTTTTTATTTCATAATGATTATACTATAAAATATTGATATTTACACACACACTGGGACTATTGTCATTTGAGTATTAAAGTATATCACTAATTACATTGAACTGCTTGATTATAAATGAATATTAATTAATGGAATGAAATGCTTATATTTGTGCATATTTAAATGAAATAACTATTCATAATCATTTTAACTACTTAAGAATACCTTAAATACAGATCAGATTTCCCTTACGTAATGTTTTGTACAGAAACATAATTTGTACCACCAAATAATTGTATGTGTAATAATCAATTGTACCAACTAGTATCAATTTCTATAATGGCTTAAGTGTGTTTTGGTGACAGCACTAAAATAAACATTAATCCAGTGTCTATTTATAATTATTGATAGAAACTTACGATTGCCATAAAGTCCTTTAATAAATAAAAAATACACCCGGGTGTATTTAGCAATAGAAATGTTACACAAATGCTACAATCACATTCTTGCAGAGTATCTTAAAAATTCTAAACTTTTTCCTATAGATAAAAAATACTACCAAATGTTATTTAGTTTCTAATTTGAATTTAGTTGACAGTCTTCATTTTTTGATTCAGTTAAATGGTGCAATTCTGCATAATTCAGAATAGCTCGGTGAAGGAAATCATATTGTGCCTACATAAAAAAAATCAAGTGATTATTTGAGTTATTTGAAAAGAAATACTTATTTTATCAGTTATAACTTACGAAAGTACTGAGCATACTGTGTCTTTGTGATCGTAGTTTACGAGTTGTTGTAAATATATCTACCCTTTTTTCGGTCCGTAGTTGTTGAACTAAAATACTCAATGCAACAAACATCGAACTCCTTTCAGTGCCAGTGCTGTTATAAAATAAAATATTAGAAAACGAGAATTTTTTATTTAAGATCAATGATGTAATTTTTTTCATCAGACAATGAATTTGAGAGGGAATTCTGGTCTAGAGTTTGATGTTACAACTCTTCAAGAATATGTGCACACAAGAATGTTTTAAAATTTAAGTTATTTTTGGAAATATAGCTGTTTGACCAAGATAATACTTCTCTGTTTCCTTCCTATTAAAACTTTAATAGGAAGTTATTTTAAGTCAACTTGTGTATTAATTTCACCTGCAATGTACTGTTATCGGCCCTGTAGCACCACGCTGCTGGTTAGCTTGTGCTTGATCAACTAATTCAATTAATCCCCTGGTTACCTCTGGTACTTCCCCCTCTACCGTTGGCCACCCTTGGTAGTGCAGTTGAGTAATTGTAGTGCTTTCGTCAGTCTATACATAAATTTTAATTAACGTCTTTATTGTATATCTACAAATATTTCAAATAATATAAAAAGAACATGAGGAGCCGAATGCGTTGATACCCTGATAGTAAATTAAAGCCAAATAGACTAATTATTAAGTATAAAAGTGAAATTCAAATTTGAGTCATTATAATGCAAAATAGCACCTATAAAAAAGGCATCAAAAAAAGAAAACTTTACTACTTTGACTCCATTACTAATTTTGAACTTTCATTCCTAAGATTTGCAGAAAATAATAAATTCTATTTTAGTAGTAGAAAGAATTTTATCATTTATAAATACTTTTGTCCATGACATTTTAATCTCAATTAGTATTTAATATTATGTATAAAATTTAAAAAAAAAATAGAAAATAAATATAAAGATTTGCATTCATTCCTAAGATTTGCAGAAAATAATAAATTCTGTTTTAGTAGTAGAAAGAATTTAATTATTTATAAATACTATTGTCCATGATATCGTGATCTCAATTAGTATTTAATATTATATATAAAATTTAAAAAAGAAATTAGAAAATAATTATAAAGTGTTCAGGCTAAGGTTACAACAAATGATAACAAAGCAATAAGTATAAACCAAAAAAAAATGTCAGCAAGTGTATGCTTCTGGTAAAACATGACATAGATTTTTGGCTTTAAGAAATATATGATCTTTGTTTAATAAATTGATTTAGCAGCTGCCAATACTTTCTTTGTGCATTTGGTTAAAAAATTAGTTTTGTAAAAGAGCTTCCACTAAATTCCATGGCTCTGGAATTTTGTCAAAATTTCAAATACAAATATTAAACTTCTATTTATATTTAAAAAAATATAGCATTCTTACATTCTATGATATTCTAAACAAACAAGTCACTTACCTTTGTGTTCGTAACAATAATTTCTCGCCTAGTATGATATGGACAACTTTCACTTTGTACATATTTAACTCTGATGTGATCATGCAAAATCTCATCATCTGGCCAATAACGAGGGCATTTCCTAGGACCTTCTCCCAACTAGAAAAATAAATTACAGTCTCAATTGCATATAAAAATAAATGAAAACATGGCACATTTTAGCTTTTGGTCAAACTATGTTTTTGATTAAAAATAAATGTAATATTTACATCTGCTAACATAACGAGGGTGCTTATGCCTTGTTCTGATATCATTCTCCAAAAATCTGCAATTGTGTCATCAAGTGGATCTTGCGTCACTATGAATGATTCTGTATTGTCATATCCTTCTATAAATGAGGCATTTATATATGTTGAATGCTCTCTTCCACATATAGGTGTCAAAATTACACGATTTCTATCATAAGGTATAATTTCTTCAGATCTGTTTTTCATTATATTTTCTTCTCCTATGCCTACAGAATATGGTTTGCGGTCTTCCATGATCATCTTGAATTTCTAAACAGAATTTTGTAAACTTAATGTCTGTTGAATCAAAATTTACAAGATTTTTATATGACACTACTCACATCAAACTCTTCATCTAGTTTGCATCTGTCTTTATCATTTTCTTTACTTCTCAACTTATCAATAGTAGACTTCAATTTATTTGCTGGAATTTCGGTGTCACCATACTGCCCTACTTCCATTAAAGTCCGATAAACAAATATATATTGTTTCTGAAATAAAATAATTAGTTAAATCAATATCAAGTAACAAAAAGTAAATTGGTCAGATGAAAAAAACAATTACCAATGATTGTACAAGGAAATTTCTTTGGTGTCTCATATCACAAACTGTGTTGAAAATAGCAACTTGTCCTTCTTCCTTGAGTTGTTGCAACAAATTATCTAATGCAACTAAAGTGCCCGTTCTACCTACACCAGCACTGCAATGTATCAAAATAGGCCCGTGCTCAAAAGAATATGCCTCATTCATTCTTTTAATGAATTTCAATATTCCATGCGGATGTTCTGGGGCCATAAAATCCTTCCAAACCAAGAAATGATATTGAAAAATATTACGTTCATCAACTTCTCTCCCTGATATATTTCTGGACACTTTCAATTCACGAACAATATAATCTGAATATCTTGTCTCTTGAATATGTGCTACAGTAATATCTCCATATATTTTGTCTCCATCAGTTTTTTCTGGCCAATACTTTGCGCATTTTGTTTTACTATACTCTTCTAAATTGGTCAACATTAAAATCAGTTCTAAATGCTGTTCCCATATCATTCTCCAGAAGTCATTCACTGTATTTTCCATAGGACCTTGTGCACAGATAAATTTCTTTCGTTCTTTATACCCCATCACAAAGTTTGCATTAATATAATCAGAGCCTGTTACAGAATCAATTTGAGCAAGCTTTACTCTTGTTTGATCGTACGCTTTAATATCTGGGTATCTATTCTTGTATAAGTTCTCACGAGCTTCTGATGCCCTTGTTGTACGGTCAGGAAAACGATCGGGAAGCAACTAGTAATAATAACATTGATTAATAAAAGCTATAATAGATCACATATGATAATTTTAAGAGGGTAACTAGAATTTTTACAAAAACAATTTTGTTCTTTCTGGATAATCTCAAAAATTAACTATTCAAGAATATGTGTGCAGGAGCAAGATTTTTCTAAATTTAAAGTCTGGTGCTAATTTTTGGGACCCTCCACTTTATCACCTTCTAGAATTAAAACTTTAACTTTTAAATTTAATATTTCTTATATTCTCAAAACATTAATTAAAACTTGAAAAAAATGTAGTATAAATATTGTTTGACTTTTTATATGACCTTTTAAAAATCACATACAATTCATACCCTTAGACCAGAATATTCTCTTAATATTTCAAAAGAATTCAGAAGAATAGTTTTCTTCTCAATTAATATGTGCAAAAAAGTAATGAATTATAACTGAATGTTTTTCATGACAGATATCTCACACAAACTTTTTTTATATAAAGATCTTATAACAACAAACCTCAAATTCATGTTGAAAACCATAATCTGAATCTTTATGCCGTTCCATGTATGCATTCAGCAAATCATCTTTCTGTATGGGTACCATATCAGGAGGGCTTAAGGACACTAGCTGATGACGTCCTCTTAAACTTCTACAAAGATGTCTGGAAACAAGACTAAATATGCTTACTGAAAGTTTTGTTCTCTATATAAAATTATTCAAAAATTACCTGAACGAATTTCTTAATGTCATCATTTCTACTCCTTGTGCTTGAGCGACTTGTTTAGTATATCTATGCAGCAAACAAAGTGACAATAAAAGGAACAAAACAACCAAAATCAAGCCACAGAAAAGTTGTATCACAACTCCAAGTATGTCGAATGCTCCTGGTGCAAAAGGAAATTCTGGTCCAGGATTTAATAAAACAAAGTAGTCACTATAAGCAGGTATAACTAGACCTGGTTTGGACCCATACACTGAAAATACAAAAAGAAAATAAGAACAAGTTTAGTATAAATGTTTTGATAAAATATTTCAATTTTTATGTACACAATGCTAGTTATTGTGGGCATTTTTTAATTTAAGTGATAATTTATCTACCAAAAAACTGTATATATATTTATTTACTTAATTTAAAAAGTACTATCTATTTTCAAATTACATTTAACATTGTTATACAAAAAAAATACCCATAATTGTGATAATCACCCATGATTTCAACAAATCCTGAATAGTTACTCTGAGAATCAAGTTGCCCATCAAATATAATTGGAGGATGCAGTTGCTCAGGGCCAAGATCTCTTCTTCGCCTCGACAAAAGCTTCAATGTTTTTTTATCCATTTCCATAGCAGGTACTGCAGTAGCAGTGAAATTCAGTGTTGGCACGGCTGCCAAAGATGGTATTATAGCAGGCACATCTTTTGTATCTTTTATTGTCAAAGATGGAATTGAATTAATTCTCTTCTGCTTCAATCCTATGCATTGTTGGCAAGCAGCCACACTTGAATTAACAGTTCGCCCATCGCCTAAAAATACTTCATTGTTCAGCATGTCGCTTGTGAACATTTCTGCTACATAAACACCTCCTGATGGATTCTTATGTACTGCTTCATAAGTTGATATTGACAAATCTTCAGGTCTAGGTAAATCAGATATTGTTTGATGGTTCACCATACGAATGATGAATATTCTATAGCAGCATATGCGGCCATTTCTCTCTGACACTCTTGGTAGGTCTAATTTGAACATCCAGTTGCCATGTTCTTCAACCTTTCCCCAGCTCAATCTCAGAAAATCATCTTTATTTGGAATTGTAGGTGGCATGGTGCAGGTTTTTGTAGTCTTTTCACCTGGTTTTTTGGTCCTTGTTACACCGGCTACATGTACTGTGTAATTAGTGTTTGCAGGAATCATATCAAATCGTGCATTGTAGGATGTATCAGCTATGCTTTTCATCTTGGGTGTCAATGTTTCATTGGTTTGCAATCCGCGATTTGTTTTGTAAGTGGCATGTCCTTCCAGAATCACATTATAGTGTGTGATTTTACCATTTTTATTTAATGGTGGTCCCCAGCTAACATTAACAAAAGTTAAATGACTAATATTGTCAAAATGGCAAATAACAGTGACATTTTGTGGAGGACCCGAGAGACCATCCATAGTAGTCCCATTTACAATCTCAGACCAATTGCCACACAAATGTGTGTAATCACTACAAGCGCGAGCTTTAAAATAATACATTGTGGCCGTTTTCAGTTCTGCAAACATGTAAGGCAAGTTACGAGAATCTTCAGGTTGTAAAACTTCCTTCTTATCAGTTGAATTGTATTCTTGAGCGAGTAGTTCATAATAATGTATATGTTCCAGTAATTCTGTAGGTGGGGCAGTCCACCCAATCGTTATGGTATTAAACGTATTACCTTTTACCTCTATTTTAGGAATGAAATTAGGATCTTTTTTAAGAGTCCTTACAAGATGAGCATATTTATGATATTGCCCAATGCCTAGCTTGTTCGATGCAGCCATTTGCAACTTATATTCAGTATTTGGCTTTAAATTTTTTAATACAAATGAATAATTGCCTCCATGTATTTTTTCATTATAAAAAGTGTAAGACCCAGTGCCTTCTTCCATGTATTGAACAAAATATTCTATAACTGGATCATTCCCATCATTGAGAGTCCAATTCATATAGATTTTATCAGCACCAACCGCTTTGACAAAGTCTATGCTAACTTGTGGTTTTTCCAGCACCAGTACAATAACAGAATCATTATGAATGTGACCAAAGGCATCCTCTGCAATGCAATAATAGGAGCCATTATCCTTCCTACTAATTGCACCCAAATGTAAGGTCAAATTCGCCCTTGTTGCATTATTAACATAAGTAATGTTACTTTTTTCTTTCAGCAAAGATATTGTTGTAGAATCATTGCCCCTTAACCAATAAAATTTTCCAAATGGAAAACCTTCAAATAAACAATACAACATATGTTCACCATCAACATTTGATTTTAGCTTGTTAGATTTAGATACAGTAACTATTGGTGAGTAAACATCTAATGTTGCATGCTTCCTTAAAACTTGATCATCAATTGCAACTGTGCAAGTATAATTTCCCGAGTCAGCGTGGGTGATATTGTGGATGTGAAGGCTTGATGTTATAGAGTTTTCTTCAATTTCTTGTAGAAAGTTATACCTAAAAATGAATATTGATTGTAATGTGTATTTGAAACATTATTTTGATTCGTACATCACTTAAGACAACCTTTCATTATCAGATATGTTCACCCCATTGAATTCCCATGTAGGTGTAACATCCGGAGCATTGTATATGCAAACAATTGTCGAATTCAATCCTACTTTTACCGGTGTTACCGTAATTTTGACTGATTGAGTATATTCTGTGAATCAAAATGCAAGAGTAAGTATCTAAGGTAAAAGTTAGATTTTGGTTAAGTAATAAAATACTGAGAGCCCTCAATGAGTGCACTTACCCTCGCAACTTATTGTCGAAATATAAATTATTGATAGGATACATGGCAAAATATAAATAATGTTAAGGGCTGGGTCCTTAAACATGGCGTCAAATACACAAGCCGGTCTTTACTTATAATATATTAACTACGCAAAACATTATTTCGCATACGTTACGCACAAAGCTAATTATCCTACTTAATTAATTATACACATACGCAAATCACCAAAAATCATCTAAACTGACAATAAACACAAAAGCATATCAAACAACACACAAGCTACTCCTGTCACTTGACTGAGTATGACCATATATTGTTGTATGACACTTTGACACAGCTTTCGGTCATGAAATGTTACCAGATCTGATCCTTTATTATCCTTAAGGACACCACACACGAAATAGCGATGCGTTTCGGCGATCTTCGACCATGCGTGGGCCAGGCGTATTTTAAGGGGTAACTCCATTGATGTAAATTTTGATTTAATTCAAATACTTGTCAATCAGACAAAATCAATATTTTTACGTATTTTTTTGTTTTTAGATCCGAAGTTGCAGTAGCTTGCTTTGCAAAAATGGCGAAAATTGCGATTTTTTAATATTTTGTTACATATATGATGCTTAGATATATGCTAAATAACTTTCCTCATTATTATGATTTTATTACTTTTTCTTCCACCCAAAAAAATGACAAAAAAAACTATTTTTAAACTGTTTCAGCGGTGTTAGAGCTTATTTCAACACCTTGCCAAAATATATTGCCCTCAAAGAATACATGAAATATGTTAATATCTTACATTTGCACTTTTGTTTGCAATATATTTTATTAAATCGAATGCTTAGTTCTCTCAAAAACTGCCATTTTTGTATATTTACCTCTGTTTCTCCGAATTTGCTGGACCTTTGCCAAAAACTAATCATCACTTTACCAATTCAAATAGAATATTTTTTGGATCATTCCATTTCTATTTTTTGCACTCTTTGCTTCGTAACTCCGCAACGGCTGGATCTGCCTTTGCCAAAAACTAATCAGCACGTCTCTCTATCAATAGGAATCGAGTGTTTTTCTAACCATCCAAATCGGTTAATCCGTACGCCCAAAAACGTGGACAAAAAAATGCAGACATACACAACACACACACATCCATTTTTTCTGAGGTAACCCAAAATGTTCAGAAACCTTTAAAACATGAAGATTTGCAACAAAATTAATTTTTGATTTTCAGCCCATTAATATACTTACCCTACCAAAAGTTTGTTACAAGATTGGATTTCGCAAACTTGTATTCACTACAAAATATATTTATATCTACGCTCTACATTAATTATTCTCTACATTGACTTATATTTAATTATTCTCTACATTTCTAGTTGACATAACAATAAAAATATTTTACTTACGAATATCAAACACTACCTTAAATAAATGAACTTCAAGAATACTACGTGAAGTAGAATATCTCAAGTATAAAAAAAACAATTCATGGACATTTTATATAAGATGTGAATTTTTATTTCGATTATCCGAATTTTATTAAAAAGTAGCTTTATCAAAACATTTACTAAATATTGCTTATGGTCCTCAATATTATAGAGTAATACTGATATAATTGCTCATAATACAAATATAATATATTCAAGATTATTTTTCAAATCTTTTCGAATTGTAAATGAATTCCGCCTTTTGGTGCTAAAAACATTGCCTTAGAATCGAGCAGAAGTGGAACTCGCGTTTTCTCACAAGGTGTGAAATGGAAGTCCTTTAGTATGTATGCGAGACCAACTTTTGTCTGCAATAAGCCAAATCTTTCACCTGAATAGAAAAAACATTATTTTATTCTAAATTGTAAAATGAATACTTCAATATTAAATATTAAGTATATCATCGACTATGATATATTGCTAAAATTTAACTCAAGTTTAATTTTTATTTTATCCAGATTACCTATACAGTTATGTGGTCCTGCTCCAAAGGGCATATAAGTATATGGATTTCTATTTTGTTTCATATTTTCTGAAAATCTTTCGGGGTCAAATTTGTCTGGGTTTGGATAGTACTAAAATATAAATAATTTATATGTGTTTTATGTTGAAGCATTTATATAAAGAAATGGTAAAACATGATTTCAACACTAATGAAAAACTAATTCGATATGTATAATTTATGTTCAAAATTTACCTTTGGATCCATATGTATTGCAAGAATTGAAAGATATATTGGCGTCTTAGGCTCCAAAACTACGTGATCATAAGGAGGAGGGAGTCGATATCTCGATGTACACATTCGATCCAAAAATGGGAGAGTAGGGTATTTTCTCAATGTTTCTATTTAATAAATATAAATAATGTACATAATATAAAAAACATATTGAGGATTTTGTCCAAAATATTACCGCTAAGCACCATGTCCAAGTATTTCATTTCTTTTATAGCTTCATATGTTATACCGCCATGTTCATTAATTTTTTCTAAAATTTCCGCCCGTAGTCGATGTTGAATTTTAGGCTGCAAAGCTATTTCATACAATGTGAATGACATTGCACCTGATGATGCTTCGTAACCTGCCGCAAAAAATACAGCTGCCTGAGCTACTAATGTATCACCTTCAAATTCTATAAAAAAACAAGTCATGTTTACCTTGCTGTAAAGATTTATTGCAATAAAATTTTATATATACTTAGTGAACCAGATGCTGCTTCATTATTTTTAAGATCTATTAGCATATCAACCAGATCATGTCTAGATGTACCAGACTTTATGCGTTCGCCCAACACTTCGTTAAACGATTGACGCAAAAATTTTGTGCCATATTTCTCAAACAACTTAAATCCAAGAATGCTTACTACTTCTGGAAAAAAGAAAAATGCACTAATTTCTATCGCACGCTTATATTCAGCGGCAAAAATCCTTTTCCCCACGGTGCGAAATTCAGCATCTGGATTTTTAAACGAATTAGCTTGAATTCCAAAAGCACAAGAAGTTATTACATCTGTCGTATACTTTGCACACAAATCCCGCATATTGTCTATATTTCTATTTTTTAATGTTGTATTTATAAACTCGTTAAATTCTTCTCCTATTTGTGTTATTAATGGAAACATACTTTTCATTTTTGCGGTTGAAAAAATAGGCGTCAATTTTACTCGCATTTCTTTCCATAAAGGATTTTTAATTCTGAATAAATTTCTTGATCCTAGAGCATCAGTGTGGCCATCAGTTGAAGAGACACGATCTTGGAACATGTTGAAATCCTTGACCAAAATTGATTTGATCCAAGATGGATCTCGTATGAATAAAGAAGGTCTGTGAAACACAAAAATGCCAAGAATTGGTTCTTGCGTTTTTTTGTAAAACGACATAACGAATTCTCCTGGACTGTTTTTCATTAAAACAAAATCCTTGAAGTTTCCGACAAATGGTAAAGGCCATAAGGTAGGAACTTTTCTCGAAGACCAATACAAAGCATGGTTCACATAATAATAAATTGATATACCGATTAATGTTAATAATAATAAAAGTGAACTGTAGATATTAAAATCCATTGATTCCATATTCGAAGTTTGTAATTCACTTGCACTTGCAATATTGAATTTAGTAATTTTGTCACTCATTTATAGATAATTTACTATTCATAATATCTTATCTAATCTTTGTTTATAATGTCCGGCTCATTATAAGTTGCTGATTTTGCAAGTAATTACTGCAGATTCTTATCAGTAGTGTTCTCATCAAAATCAAATTTACAACTAAATAAGAAATACAATGTCATAAGCCTTTCTCCATCGTTGGAGTCGTTGTGACGCACATGCTTCAGTGCATCATAAATGATTGCATTCGTTCTATATTGCATACACGATTCTTTTTTATTTTCTGTACCAAATTACAATCTGTCTTTTACGAAAAAAATAAGCAATGTTGATGCTAAATGTAAATCATCAATCTAAAGTTCTGATAGCATACCCAGTAGTATTTTTTTTCAAATTTGATAAATCAAATTAAATTTTGCAATTATATGAAGAGAAATTGAAATTATTTCGGAAGCTAAACTTCTATTGGCCCTGTAAGATTCCAGCAAAATTTGTTAAAGATATGTGATAACTTATCCTTCACTTTCACTAGATGTATAATTAGTTTTTCTAATAAAGAAGTTTAATAATCAGTTTAATCTAAATATTTTACATTTTTGATTGCATCATTTAACAAACTCTTAATTACATTACATTAGGTATAAATATTTTATAAAAATAATATTTTGAAATTTATTTCCACTTAAATCTTCTTCGTTTTCGTCCTGCTTGTGGTTCTAGTATAACTTTACCCGTACTATTATCAAGGCTATCGATAACTTGGGCTAAGTATTGGCAATTACTATTAAGTCCAAAAAGTTCAATACTTGTTCTCTAGAAACAAACAAATATTTCAGACCTGACTTGTTCGAATAAGAAAAAAGTATTGAAAAATTACCGCAGTACTATGTAAAACAAAGTGTGTCTCCGATTTTCTGCTACACTTCTGTTTGTATACTTTCACAAAGTATCTAAAATTAATAGTAGAAATATAGTATCAATATTTCTATGTGCATTATTAATCTAAGCTACATTTTGATTTGCAATTTACTTACTTGGTTTGTTGGTCATCATTTCTTTTGCTCCAGTTTATAGTCGCATATACTTTTCCATTTTTGTGATAATATTTTGTTTTTAAAATTAAACGCTTTTTTCCTTCAGGTATAATTTTGATGGTTGAATCGAATGTAGTGTTTAGCGTTTTTGAAGCTTTTTCACCTTTAATTTTTAATTTGTCAAATTGAGACATAGCTTGGACTTGCAGAAAGTATTGTGAATCAGGATGTAAATTTTTCAATTGGACGCTTGTTTGATCCTATACAATGAAACATAATGAATGGAAAAATAACTTAATAAGAAATTATGATATGAGATAGAGTTATTTCTTCTATAAAATTATGAGAAATATCTTATATTAAATTGTATGTAGGTAATATCAAATATGTGCATCCTCATACAAAGCGTTGTTATCCCTCCGTCGGTCGGCGTGGTCTGGCCAGACTTTTTTCGACTTCAATTAAAAAAAAAAACTTCTAGTAATCTTATCGACTTGAAATTTCTTGACTTTTTTTTGAAATTAGCTGCCGATCAATGAAAAAATCAGGACGAAAAAATGTACAGAAGGATAATTATAAGGATATTAACTTTTTTATACTTCGAACGGTCGGAAAGGTC